ATAATGGGTGTCAAGGCAGTCGTTTTACGCTTGGGGCTGTCTAGATTGGGTGCCTCTAATTTAAATAACCGCTAAAACTGTTGATGTGTTCAAATATAGACGGTTGGACACTTAGTCATAAAAAGATATTTTAATCTCTTAAAAGTCTCAAAAGCGGGTTATTGTTTATTAAAGGTAGTCTTAGCTGCGATACTTCCCAGCCCACAGCTCACAGACCAGATATTCCTTTGGCTATTTAGCCAGCAGAATAGATGATTCGAATCAGAATGTCTGGCAAATTTTATAATTTATCCCTACTAAAGCTTACGTGGGAGACGAATCTTTCTGCAGGAGCGATAGACACAATCACGAAAGAATTCATATCTCTAACGTTAAAGACTTAGCACAAACACTCGCTAGTTAAACAAGCCGAGGGAGGCCTTCCTAGGTTGGTTTAGCCGTACTAACAAAACTTTAAATGTTAAAGTTCTTCCACTACTAATTAAACGCTGAAGTGAGCGCGTAAATCCAATGAGTACTATTTGGAGGGATAAATTCCGTCACAGCTCCCAAAGATTTGTCCTTTTTCACTGTAGGTGGAAAACAAGGCTAAAAGCTCGTTAATTCTAAAAATCACAATAATTTGTGAATATAACTTTGCTTTTAACTTCGTACTTACGATAAGATCTTGCAGATCATATGACAAACTAATTATGGAAATCTATTATAAGAGGCGAAACCGCCTAAATAACTTCTACAAGAGTCGCTTATTTATTTGCAAGCTTTTAAATAGTTAGTAGTAAAGTTTGCTTAAAAATTTGTTCATCATTTAAATTGCTTTGACAGTAGCATTTTAGTAATAAAATAAATTATTATTTTCTTGTAATATCCTATCTGTCGCTTGCATATTTGGGGCCTGTCAGACTTCTTTAGTCCGTTGGAAGATTTTTCTTGCTAATGCAAATTTTCTCCCCTAATTTGGTCTTCCTCCATCGTACCTTGGGAAAGCAATCAAGTGTTAGGTCTCTATGTGCCTTAACGAGCTATTTTCGGAGATTATTTTTATAAATGTCCGTTTGTTTGCACCTTTAAGGTGGGAGGCGGTCAATAAATATGAACCTCGTGGCAAATTGCATGCCATCGGCCCCCGAGGAGGAGGAAACGTACCCTGAACTCGCTTAAAGCGTTATACCTGTACCCTTTCATTTATCACCACCCCATAAAGCATGTCCTCATCCACCTCGTCTGCTTGTTCTGGGGGAATCAAGGCCGAGGTGGAAGAAAGACACTCCGAGCCTGTTACACATTATCACGTAAAATAATTTCCGAATTTCAGTTTCATTTAAACCCTCGAGGCTGGATTAGCTAGATACTGCGAACAGTCAAACGTTCCAGACAAGTTGGCAAAATGAGAGCCGTCTACCATTTTTATAGCAAAGATAAACAGTTTTGGCTATTTAGTATGCACTGATAAGTCTTAAAACCTCCACTTTTTTATTGTGGCATACACCTTACACAAATCATTGCCGAGACCTTTTCCCCACCATTTTTTCGTGTCCTCGTTGCATTTATGTGATTGTTTAGACAGCATAAAGGAGCGTTATTTCCTCCTTACATCTACTCTGCGATTCATATTTTTGCGAGAAATATGACTGACTAGTGGCAATTAATGGGGAAATTAGACCAGTTCTCTTGATGGACGTGTAATCAGCAAATAGAGATATTTCTTGGCCATTGTTTTTAACTAGTTATATGCCCATTTCAGCAGTAGAAATGACAGTCGGAGAATTCATAGAAAAGAGGTTGATAACAACAAAAGCCATTACAAGCGAAAGTTTCTGTTTTGCCCTTAATTTGTGCATTATTTTTTCTTACACTGATCCAAGGGGATTACAAGCTATAATTACCACAAAAGCTGCATGGCGGTTATAAATAATGCTACATAATTAAAGCAATTATATTGTAATACTTTGGTCATATTTTAAATTGTTTGTTCCTGTTTTGCGGGCAGTCAACACACTGCGATTGTATTTTTATGTCAATGCCCCCCCCCCAACCCCTCTAATCTGCCCTAGCATTGTACCTTCGTTTCTCTTACGAGAAGTTTTGAGGAGCTATAAAATCAAATGGATGCTAAACATATGAGTACTTTTCCGATTTGGTGGAAATTTTTTTAACAAATCTTATGCTTTAGTGCATACGCAGGTAACAATTGTTCCTAACCCCGTCATACGAAATAGCATTGGTAGTTCTCACTGCACAATGGCAATATGTTCACCAATGTGCATTTGAAAGCTGTCATGCATCGTAATCTATGAATGACACTCTGAAACCGCATAATTTTTTGCTGATTTCATTTATAGGAACTAGACTCCTTACCTGAACTTAAACACTAATCTTTAGAGTTTGAAATTAAAAGGGTTTATTTCGAAAGGACAGATTGAATGCATGGGAGTCGAGCACTGACGAACCTTTAGTCACTTCACGTAAAGGTCCTTCGTGGCAAGTCGGGTCGAAAATTTCTCCAGGCATACTTGATTTTATAAAAATGACAAAGAAATCCAATGACTCATTGTAAGAGCTCCCACAATCTCATTTTTAAAAGATTTACATTGCGATATTTTAGGTGCTTGTCAAAGTCTTCGTTTTTATTGCGCTGGGCGCTGAAGGGCGCGGCCAATGTACCACCGCTCGACGGCATGGCTTCTGGGCCATGCGCGTAGTCCACCCCTCGGCCTCTCTGCACGTCCGGAATATATATTCCGCCCAAGTATTAGGCCTTCTTTTGTCCTCAGATTAGTCTCTGGAAGGGGCATTAGTAGTAGCAGAAAGTAAAAACGATAGTAAAGGGCAAACACCCTGATTCCTATTACTGAATAATACACATTTACGTGACAGAAGAAGGGCATGTGCTGCAGATACGGGAATCTGTGACGACACCTAACAGAATGGTTGGAAATGACGTCCACCATCGGCAACTATCCCATTACTGTGGTCTGCAGGAATGTTGTGATCAAATGAAGCAACGCTGGCCGTGGCTGTGAGCTATCGAAAATTTCGTTGCGGAGCTTTTTACAGCACCTGTATGAAGATGTCTGTTAAGTGAACACCCAATACCATCTCTAACACTCTACTAGCCGGATCGAACCTAAATAGATGTATATGGCTGGACAGCACTGAAGTGAGGACAAAGTGACAGGGTGAAAGGAAAATGAAATCTTTTTCCCAAAAAACCATTTTAAACGCCGGCCTTAACGCATTGACTCTGCTTTTAGGCCAGTGTTCCCACGACATAATGGACACACATGATGGCCCCTACGTTCCCTTTCCCCCCATAATTGTTCCCAGACAGGACGAAACTCTAGATACAGTGAAAATACCAAGTAGAATCCTTGCCGTTAAAATCAGATACCATCTCAGTCGCACGCTAATTTGATGTCCGATGTGGTTGGTTCCTAGGGTTTTTTCTCACAGCACCGACTCGCCTACGATGCGATGGCTGATGCCAGAGATTGATCAAAGGAACGGTAAGGACAACGCCCAAAGGGAAAGTAGGGCTATGCAATACCTGGGATGGAGATTTAACATTTTGTTTGGGTTTCACTGCGACTTAGGTATCAGCTATTGTACCTTAACTGGGCGGCCCGGCCATCTGGGCCACGCCAGTAGCCTCTCGGCCCTTCTGAAAGTCTACAATATGTATTCTGCCCGAGTATTATATTGTTCATGTCTTCGGGGAGTTTGGGGGCGCTACAATACTTTGTGATACAAAATAACAAAAGCAGAGCATTTGGAGATGGTTGATAAAGTGAGCATTGAGAAAACACTTAAGAATGCTTATTAAAGGAAGCCTTAAGCTATGTACACGCATTCAAGTCACGAGTTCACAGTCATGATGAGATTCAAGGGGCTAAGAGTGTTGATGCTTAAAGCACTTGAGAATTTTATCTTACTGTTTCTTCAACTCTTTTGGTTCGGCAAGTTTCTTTTACTTATGGACGTAGGAACTAGTATAAGTAAGTGCTCTAATATTTGACTTACATTTACTTAAATTGCACTTGAATGTAATTAACTGGAACAGGCTACTTAATTTCGGTCAAGGTTAGCAGGTTTGAAAGCCCCACTGATCAACAGGCTTTATTTGAGCATTTAAGTTACCACCACACCGAACTGTTTTACCAAAAGTCAGCTAGGGACTAAAGTAAGTAAACATTTTCATCGTAAGCTAATGCTCATTTTGTAAAAAAAAACTCTCGACAGATGTCTAAAAGCATATATCAAGACAACAGCGTCTTCAAGCGCCTCCTCAGCAAGCTCTCTTCAAAGATCCACCAGTTCCTTCGACGGAGCCATCATCACGCGAGCAAAATCTGAAAGCACGAGCGAGTTTCAATTTATTCTTTGAAATCTATTTTGCCTTTTAAGTCCTTAAAATACGAATATCACGCTAATAGTTGTGTCAGTAATGAGCACTTCAGGAAAATTGGACGTAGCAATTTAATCCGTTGTTCATCCAAGCGAGCTTTTTAGCCTCCGTGGATTGTACTTCCCCTCAGTGTTATGGCCTTCCGTCGATCCCTACAGCCTTCCAGTTCGTCGGGGCGTTAATAATTTAGCGTTCTCTGTACTGGTATAGCTTACTACGACTTCTGAGAAGATTCAATCTGCTATAAAAGGTCTTTTCGTTAGTTTCGTCGTAAAGTTTATGTCTTTTTTATGCTGCTGTTGCCTAGCTGTATTCATTCTTGCCATTGTAAATTGACAAGGCAAATGTGCGTCAACATATAGAGTGAGCCTTTTTCGAAAAAACGCTCAAAATGAAATTTATGGGGCAAAACAAAGGCCTCCTAATTAGGCATAACAACCGAATGTCTCATTTTTTGTACGAGGGTTTGTCAGCAGTTTTAGACACAAATTTGACCTATGTATCGCAAAATGTCACCGGTTGCCTAAATTTTATACAAAAATGAAAGACATTAAGTGGAAGATTAACGTGATAGGTTCCGGTAAGCGTCACTTAGTCACATAGCTTGCATTAAATCTGCTAGACAGGCCGTAAAGGAGTAAGATAAATAGTATTTACCACTAAAGCAGACTTTCCCGTCACCATTAGAGTCCGCTTGACTGCAAAGCGCCTCAACATCCTCCTCGGTCAGAGTTTCGTCGCCTGCTATCAGCAGGTCTCTTATTTTTCACCTTACCAAACCACTTAAGTTTAGCCCTACCGTAATTTGCTAATCGTAAAGTAGCCTTCTCCGCTTTCATCAAAGAGTCGAAATGCCTCGTGCAGATCCTGAGTGATTTGGAGATCGGATTTATACTCTTCCATGAGTATCAAAAACATCTTCTCAGTGATATTTGCCTGACCTCGGCAACTAATTAACGAAAGGTGCGATCGGATTTATTTTCAGGTACCTTTGAAAGACCTTCTCCAATTCCTCATCTGTGGGTGCAAATCCGGCTCTTCGCATAACCCGGGCTAGTTTTTTTACTCGGATCTTGCCATTTTTAAGCCAGGAAAATTGTTGAAAGGCTGTTATGCAGCGATTCCTTTCCTCGACAGTCATGGACTCCGTCATCCTGGTGGGGTGGCAACTTTAAAGTAACCCTCACTTCTATTTCCTCTTCCACATCAAAAGTCTCACACCCGCATTTTTAAGTCTCTCGTTTGTACCCAATTAGATCTATTTCTAAACTGCTTTCAGAATATTTTTCAATCTGTGTGCATAAAGTTTAAAGTCAGTGCAAATATATTCATTTAGAGTGCCGTGCCAAAACCAAAGATTTTGAATTTTTTGCCTGACATTGGAGTGATATTTCCATGACGGTAACAGTTATTCATCTACGTGTTTATTTATTGATGCCAGGAACGTTCATATCAAACTGAAACTTTCGGTTTTTTAAACATACTTTAATTCTCAAAAACTTTATTTCCTATTGTCAGAGCTCTCTCGATTATTCCATTAAAGTAATAGCAGAAAAACTGTGGATTAGGAGATTTGTCAATTTTAGCTGAACCCACCATGACAGTCTGTGTCAGTTCGTCTTGGTACTCAGGGTAAGCTAGCTCATCCGGCATTGTAAATAGTCGTGAAAGAATGCCATTACTTTTCCTACACCAGGATTTACCTTCTTTAAAACTTCATTAAAGATTACTCGTTGATGAGAGGTGCAGAGCTGGGCACGCATCTCCCTCGCCGGCTGAATGGCTTCCATGAACTGTGGACTGGAAGAGGCCACGGCTGACATTGACACTGGGGTAGGTGAAGATGTCTTTTAAAAAGTTTCCACCACTTAAAAGTCTTTCTACAACTAAGTGGCTCATCAACGTACTCTGCTTGAAGTTTGCAGCAGGAGTAGATATTTGTGGGTTGTTTGGACTTTCGGGTTGTCTTAAAGTCGCGTTGCCTTTGGTGTCTGCTTTCTTGATTAACGGTGTCTGGACTAACCGAAGTCATATGTTTTGACTGTTAATAGCAATAAAAGGATCCGCTTCCATCCCACTAACGCATTTAGCAACACCACAATATCATCCTTTTTTGCCCTGTAAAATCATAAGTCAGCGGCTGATTCGATCAATCCATGCATTGAGAAAATAAACCAAACATTATATCCTAACAAAGACTTTCCAATTTATCTAAAACTCTTAATCAAAATAATGCATTTTACAAGTTTCTTTTTTTACACAGCTAAATTTTCCTTTCCTAAAAACTGTAAAACATTGTTTTAAGCAAAGATTTACCACCTCTTCGCTCTGTATCATGGCTAAAGGGCTACCCGGGTTTAGCTAGATTCTTTAGGGGAAATTTTTCCCTTTTACTTTTTTGTACAGCGGCTTAGAGCCTCATGGGGTAGCATTGTGTCAGTGGGATTAAAAATGCGTCTGATGCTCAGGTATTTAAGAGATCTGACATGAGTACCAGTCTGCAGTCTTTACGAAAAGGCAATCAGCAACCTTGGCAGTTCATTTCCTAATTTTTAAAGGAAATGTCATTGCATTCAGTTGCTCTTATATTTGAAAGAAGAGCAGATTAACTGGATGTATTTTAATATTTTGATTAGGTGTTTAACTCTTGGTTTTGATTTCAAAGATGCCAGGTTCTGTACATTTGCTGAACGGAATGGCCTCCAAAGCACACGAGTAGCCTGCTAACTCTTCTGTGAGTCGATGATACATATTCTGCCCTATTATTATGCATACCTTTGTCTTCAGAGAAGTCTTGGGGAGCTAAATTGGTGGAAGGGGATCCTAACGGACATCCATCATGATTTCCATTCCTGATTGCTAAATCTTAACGCAACGGAAACTACCTCAGTCCCATGTTCTGCGGGAATTCTACTAACAGGTGAAGAAACACTAGCCTTGAACCATCTAAAGGGTTCGTTACGGAGCTGTCTAGGGAACTTGCATGAAGATGTCAGTGAAGTGAACATGAGATACCTTCTGTACTTCTCGACTAGCTGGATGAAAGCAGATAGGTATATGGCTGAGCAACACTAAATTGAGAACAACGTGGTGAGGAGAAGCAGGAAATGAACCTTATTTTAAATACTGTCTTTTATTAAATGACTCTGTCTCTAGGCCAGTAATCTTGCCACATGATGATCTGCACTTTCCCCTTTCCCGTTATAATTCCCAAACAGGTCAAAACGCCAGATCCCGTGGAATCGTCAAGAGAAATCAGTGACGTTGCAGTCAGAAATCCTCTCAACTGCGTGCAAATTCAGTGGCTGGCGCGGTTCTTTTGTGGGTGTTTTTCCTTACTGCGCCGACTACTTTGTGATTGCCGACACTAAGGGTTGACCGAGTGGGGCGCCAGGGATGACTGTCAAAAGAGGGACTTTGTAATACTTTAATCATTTGTTGAACTCTTAATTTTAGTTTTGCGGGTACTTAGGGCTCCGCCTTTGTACTTTGGCTGGGCGAAATATTCCCCTAGCACCTTTGCATTTTCGCGATGAATATTCTACCCAAGTCTTGCACCCTCCTCCATCTTAGAGGAAGCCTCGGAGCCCTACAACGTCGATTAAAAATATTATGGAGAATGTGTGATGACGTTCAAGTTTCTTTTCTTGGACTTTCTTTTATTGCTTGGAAGAAATGATGTGGTTTAATAACAGTCAATCTGCTGTTTTGCGTTTTGTATCTGTTTCTTTTGAAATATCGAAATTATTTTTAGTACGCATTTGCCATTGTCAGTTTATCATTCAAACATTTGCCTATCCTTCCATCTTTTTATAAAACTTGTCTTAATTATTTTGCAGATTTTATTTCACCTTTTTAACGTTCCATGGGATGTTCACACTTTTCAAAGGCACCGCTAAATCCTTGTACCAAGATGGTAGTGGAGGTTGTCCTTAAGCAGAGGCAATCTCGCAGATAAGTGCTCCTTCCTCGCAGAATCTATTTATACTTGCATTGTTGATTGCCCTCAGGAGTAGAGATGCAAGTCACGATATCTCCTAAAGGCGAAGCTTTTATGAAGTTATGGCGTGATTCACTTTACGGTTACACTAGAGAATGCCTTAACGTCTTAGCACCTAATTGGATTTGCTTCTCTGCGATTTTAACAATGGCTTATTTATCCTTTGTTTCTGCGTTAACAACGGGGTTGTGTTTATTTTCAGTGTTCTAGCGCATTAAAATTGTTTCATAACTACTGTTTTTTTGCTGGCAATGAACCTCTGATATGTAAATAGTTAAGTTGCCATTCATCATTTGCTTCAAGTTTTGATATTTGACTATGCACTACAAAGAAATTTAGGAAAAGTTACTTGTTAAGTCTTATGTAGAGCGACTGACCTATCAAGATTTATTAGGAATTTTAGGTGCCTAGAAGAGGGAATGTTTGCACTGAAAATCTGTGATCCTCATAATTGTTCTTGTGAAAAGCCTACATTTAAACAAAGTGGGCTTATTTTTAAAATTCAATTTACTCAAGTCACTTTCAGTGGAGCGTCTTGACCTTTCACCATTTTTCCGTGGTTATGCATCATCCTGAGCCTTCGCTGAGTTCACAGCAAGATGTGCAAATGCCAAGGAAAGATTTGTTATTGTCGAATGGAAGAGTCGGGAGACTGTGGGCACTGGCCTCCGGCTATATATATCTCCGACCGAAAGTACCGTCTGGGAAGATTGAAGCCCTCGTGTAGCACCTTGCAGATTAAAAATTTAAGTGTGTAGTTTAGTAATAAAAGTGTATTCGTTCCCATTAAAAATAATCATTTTGTTGTTAAGGTTTTCTGCATATGTATGACTGGTAAAATAAATGAATTTTAAGTTATTCCGTCCAAATTTTAGGAAAACTAAACACTTAATATTTTGCCTTAAATAGTTGGCAAACATTAGGTAAGGAACTTGGGGTAATTGGTTGTTTTTAGTGCATGCAAACAGGTATGAAATGTGGCGTTTCAAGTCTTTCCTCAAGACGAAAGGAAGGATAATAATAGGGCAGAATTGCATCGGCGTCATACAAAAGGGCTGCACACAGGCGAAGCCCTAAATGCCCGCAAAGCCAAAATGAAGAGTTATACAAACTAAAGCATTGCATAGCCTTCCTCTTCTTTTTTTGAGCTCGTCCTGGACGATTCCCCTGGTCAGCCTCTCCCCTTGGCCATCACAACGCAGTTAGTGCTGTAGGGAAAAACACTCGTGAACCACTCGGGCCAGCCATCAAATTTGCGTGCAGTAACAATATTTGACTGCAATGTCACCGATTTCTCCTGGCAGTTTCACTTGTTTAGGAGTTTTGCTCTGTTTGTCAACTGCATTGGGAAAGAGGGAAAGTGTAACTCCTCTACCATGTTTATCGCTAATCATCAGAATGCTGACCCAAATGCAGAGCTATTTAATGAAGAACGAGGTTTAATTAGCTTTGTGAAGATAAAATGTGCTTATTTCTCCCTGCCACTTTGTTCTCACTTCAGTGCTGCCCATCCATATACCTACCTGGATTCTGTCCAGCTAGTAGTGACGCGGAGGACGCGATACCACCTGTTCACTTCAGTGACATCTTCATATAGGTGCGGTAGACGGCTTCATAATGAATCCTTCCAGATGGTTCACTGCTAGCTTAGCTTCAACTGCTAACAGCTTTACTGCCAAACACAGGACATGGGTGATTGCCACACGGTGAGTTCATTTTTAACTCTTCTGTTAGGGGTGGTCACAGATTTTTCCCATTCTAGCCTATCCACTTCTTTTGTTACGCTAGTGCTCAGTAATCGGAAAAAAAATTAAGTATTTATCCTTTATTACCAAGTTCGATTTCCGCTGCCACTACTGTAGCTGGACATGTGATGCCGACCCGTAGGGCCCTGTCGCCCAGCTGAAGTACAAAGGCAGAGCCTCCAGTGCCCGCAAAACCAAAAAGTGGAGTTGAACAAATGGTCAAAGCATTTTAGGAACACCTATTTTACCAAAGTTACTTATATCCTTCCTAAGGGCTTCTTAAACACTCACTACGTCTCAACGCCTCTGGTGATGAAACTTCTCACGACAACACACAGCATTGTGGAACTTTATGAATCATATAGTACACAAAAATATAGCCCCACCTATACATCTGATGAATTTTGATCGTCACATAATACCTTTCAGTTCTGGTCTCAGAAATAGCTTTACATGTTAATTAGCTTATGTACTAAATCCTTTTTACCTCTTAAGGCGAAGTTCTTCCTCGAAATTCTCTGTCATCATTTAATCATAAAGTAATTTTTTTGGTGCCGTCCCATTTCAACATAATAAAAGTTAAAAGTTTTGTAAAGCTGCTTCACTTTAAAGGTGTTTTGAATCCTTCGTCGTTGCCTTAAAACGAATTGCTTTGAATTGGCGTTGCATTTTAGTGTGAGGTTGATTCTTATTAAAAATTTATTTGGTCTGAATTGCATCAGTTTCCTTAAATAAATTTTACTGTTTATTCCATTTGCACCGCGTTTTGAAATGACTTGAATTTCCACCAATGCCAAGATGTGGATGAGAAATGGGTTTTACGTGTGCATATGGGGATAAAATTAAGATGGAAGGAACCCTATAAATGGACAACTATATATAAACGTATTAGAAATGAGTGTGTGACCCATTTTAGTGACAATTAATCTTCGGTCACTTTGTGAGTGTAGAGAAATAATGGATAGCAGATTCCCAGAATGTCACAACGGTTTAGTCCTCCAAACTTTTTGCAACTGAGAAGCGACCAATTTCGTTATTCCTACGTGCTGCGCTATTTAAATGCGACACAAAGAATGCAACTGGAATTTCCTCACCTAAACACGAGAACAGTGTCTTTTCCTATCGAAAAAAAGAGCAACTCAAATTCATGCCGTTTTTACTTAGCACAAGAAGGGAAATGCTTGAATTCTTTTGGGATGATGTATTATTTACAGACTCAGGAAATCTTAAATTAAATAAGCTGCTTGAGTCTGTTCAAAATCAGACTATCTTAGCACGAGCAATGAGCACTAAAGAAGTCCAAGTCAAACAGACAATTCTAAGTGCACATAATACAGTAAAAGAAACCATTCTAGGGAGTGCAAACATCACTGTGTTTTTTTCCACAAATCCGCCTCCTACAACAGGTGACTAACTCGTGTTAGACTTTGGTACTGAAAGTCTTGTTGGCAAGTCTGAAATAGAATACTTCGATGGTTAGTTTAACTATTCGTTTGGATTTTGCAGACACTTAAGGCTTTACGAATGTGCTTCCGATGGGCGGCGTGGCCTAGACCAAGTTAATACTCCCATAACCCTTCTCTACGCTGTGAATACGTATTTTGCGCTAATATTATGGTTTCTTTCCTCTTTAAGTTGCTACAGAACCATTCTGGGACAGCCTTACTTCATCATCAGCGCTAATACCCAGCTCGTGCACCGACCCCCTAAGACTGTATCTGCCATCCCTAGGAGAGGGCACCTCATGTGAAATTTTATGTCTACTTAGGTATTAATCACGGAATCGTGTATTCCACGTGCTGTCTAATTGGTTGCTGTGCACTAGAAAAAAATACAGTCAAGGGGATCAATGGCAGTTACATAGTTTTTCTAAAATGCTTGCACCATTTAGATATTCCAACACTAACAAGTGCTTGGAGAGGTGCTTGCCACCCCACACCTTGTTTCATGGCCCTCGTGAATTTTTCGCTCCAGGTATTGCAGCGGATATTAATGGACCACACTTGTGGACGTAGAAAAGCCATTACAGCATGTCTTCTGCACCTTTTGGATTCCCTTGCGGAATTAAAATTTCTCATCTTTATAAATGATCTTTCTTTAATATTGCTCTGGAACCAATCTTTTCCTAAATTTTTTAATATCACTGATACTATTTGTCAGTGCCAAGGGTAAAGACATTGATGTTTACTTACTGTTGTCAAACACCAGAAAAGTTTTGATCTCTCTTGCGTGACAATCTCAAAGCAGCACAAATTCTTCGATATTCACTTCAAAAACCAAATAATGTATGTCCCATCTTTGTCTTTTAGGACCTCAAAACATTTGTTACTCTAAAAATACACATATAAAGTTACCATAACCTCCAAGTAAATTTTTCCTACTTCTAGATTAGAGAATCAACGCACACCTCGCAATCTGCGACATTCGCATATTTAAAAACATGGTAGAAATTCATTATTTATGCGCTCTTAAAGTGACACTTGTTTATTTTTTTTTAAAAAATTTTTTGATTTCTTAAGTACTAGTGCGCTTTTTAACGTGGGAACGAAACGCTTACCGCAATACTTCACTTGTTTGCAGAACTCTTCGTTTCAATTTCGCGGGCACATAGGATTCTACCATTGTACCTTCCCTAGTCGGCATGGCCTCTGGGCCCTTTTCGCATGCCGGGAATGCTTATTTTATTACAGCATTATAACCTCTTTGATCCTTGGGGAATTCTCATTGTGTCACAGTGGTGGCAGAGCAAAGCAAACCAGATCCCAAAGGACATCTGCTCTGATTTCTACCTCTTGTTGACGAATCTTCGAGTGACGGAGGAGGCGCATATGCTGTGGATGGCAAAATTTGCGACGACCCTTAATAGAATGGTTGAAAATGACATCTGCTTTCGGCAAATATCTTAGCCCTGCATTCTGCAGAAAATGCTATTAGCAACTGAAGCGACACCAGTTGTAGCAGCATCCATATGAAATGTTTGTTACATAGCTGTAAACGGCGTCTATATGAAGATATCAACTAAGTGAACACGCAACAGCTTCTCCACCTCTTTACCTGATGAAACCCAAATAGATAGATATGGCTGTGCAGCACTAACCCTACTTGTATCCCGAGGTTCTTACTACTGACGATGGAGGTACGTAATGATTGTCACACTTCAATTCCCAATGCAGTTCCTAAACAGAACGGAACTCCAGACCCAGTAGAATTGTCAAGGTGGATCAGTGACGCTTCAGCTAGATGTTCTCTCAGTTGCACGCGAATTCGATGACTGGTGCAGTTAATTCGTAGGTGTTGTTCTTGCAGCATCGCTTACGTTGTTATGGCAGACGTGGGAGGTTAACCAAGGGAAGCGCCGACGCGCGTGGCTAACCAAGAGGAGCGTCGGGAATAAGTTCAAATTAGGAGAGGGGCTATGTAGTGCTTTGTTTGCTCGTTCAACTCGCCGTTTTGATTACACGGGCACTTTATGTTCCATTATTTGACCTCTGCTCCTCTGTACACCGGTGATACACATTCTGACCCAGTATTGTTTTCTTTTGTCTTCAGAGAAGTGTTTGGGAGCTATGCTGATCACTTAAGGAATTATTTTGCGTAAAAGGAATGGTTATTTAAAACGATACTTTAACGAAGTTATTCAATAATTTATAGTCTCACTACCTGTATGTGCTGACTTGGATCGTCTTTTGGATTCGTGGTTTTCACGCTGCGCTCTTTTTGCGAACGAAGTAGGTTAGATATATGTCAGTCGTTTGACCGTAAACTGACCACTTATGTGACTGCACAAAGGCAATTACGTGATTGTCGTAAGGTGGAAAACAAATAGGGTCACAAAAATTCTTTATTTTTCCTGTGTTTCGCTTTGTGGGTCACTTTAAACAAATTGTATCGTGAAAGAATGAACTATGTGGAAACTAGTTTAGGTGCATTTTCCGTCTGTTAAAATCTACTATCTGGCTAAACTTAAGTAGCTCCATGAAATTAGATTGGTATTGCTGCTCCCTAAACGCAAGGCTATCACTAATTCCAATAGGAATATGTGAAGGATCATCCAAAAATCTAGGATCAACTCTGACCACTTACAGTTAAAGTAAACGGCATTTGTCCGACTTTTCGGTGGTCGCATTATGATCATTATTGCTCTTAAAATATTTGTTTAACTCCTTTGTTTGGTTTCGCGGACACTTAAGGCTCCGTCTTTGTAGTTCCTCAGGGCGGCATGACCTTCGGGCTATGTCAGTAGCCCCCCAGCCCCACTACCAAAGTGCCATACTTCTTCTTGTCTTTAGGGAAGTCTTGAGACACTATATAAATCTTCATCTTATAATGTTATGATAATATAAAGCTAACCGCTTTGCTCTAAGCAGTTTCATTTGAAACTAAACGAAAGCATACATATGCCTTAACTTCTTAAACAATACCTTAACTTTTGCAATAGGGGCAAAATAGCTTGTCGCAAGAGAACAAATGACGTTTTAAAAACTCATATTTGGGAGTCCAACCCCTGATCTTTGTATTTCTTCTCCTTTTCAAACAAACTGTCTCCCTCATGGTCCCCTAACTGCTGTTTGCGGTAATCCCTTTGGTCCTGGGTCACGCGTTTAATCAGCCATCATAGGGCTGCCATCCTTCAAGTTTTTAAAGGTGAGCAAAATGACCAAAACAGTGGCATAAATTGTTAAAGTACTCAACACGTTGGCTTTATCCAACATTTCAATGTATTTAGCCGACGAATGTAAGCTGAGGTACATTTTTTACTGCGTTTACTCGACGAAAATGTTTGCCAATAGAGCCATTACATAGATGGATGGAGATGGAGATGGATGATTTCGGATTAATTAAGAAAAATTTACAATTTTTATACAAAGTATTTGACGTTCAGCAAACATGCACGTTTTGTTTTAAACTGGCTTACTTTAATTTGACTAACTCATGGAGTGCTACTTAAATATGTCCTAAGTAGAAATTGGGTGTTATGGTAAATTAACTTACAAAATATTTTCCATCCTCAATGAAAAATCAGCTCTGAAAGTAAATCATACTAGGGTGCCTATTAAATGGTACGTAAATCCTCTTTGATTGCCTAATTGCTGTTCCCAATCCAAATAGTTTATGCAATGCTTTTGGCACAATGGTCTTAAGGCAGCTTCACTTTTGAGTAAAATACCATATATTTATTTTCTCATTTCAATTTAACCAAGGCAACTTGATACCACATTGCTCTTTTTTCTATAAGTAGGGTGTCAGATTGAGCGGCAGCCTGTGGCGACTTTATCATCCCATTTCGTCTAATAGTCCATAGTAAACTGCAATTCAGAGTAGTAGTTTGTTTGAAAAAAGTACAAAACCAAATAACTCACACCTAGAATGCCACCGCGACTTTCTTACCACCTAAGGTGGAGGCTAATTGTAAGCAGAAGTTCTTTTGCACCAAAGCAGTGCAAGTCAAATCTTTCACCTGCATCAACGCTTGCCCGGTATTTCAGTACGCGTGTAAAGAGACTTTTTCAAACTTCGAATAGTTGTGCTTTACGGCCTACCTTTGGGCTTTTGTCAAACTTTGTTTTTTATTCCTCAATTTACGTCTACCACAAAGCGCAATAAAAAACCCCCTTTTAAATAGGCTATGCACTCTTCCAGAATATATGTAAATAGATACACACAGGTGATCCTTCACGAATATTTTTGTCAAATACGCTGGGATCTTTAATTCTCCATGGTAAGTGTTCATGGCAGAGCAGCATCGTTTCAAGATGTTTTAAGTTAAAACTTCCTGCGTTGAACCAATTATGGGACTTGTTGTTGCTTGGGTTGATACGCCCGTTGGAAATCCCGTTTTTTATTTTGGCGATGCATTAGAAATCGTAGTCGACTTCGCCAAAATAATGTAAAAATTTTGGAAAAAACTGATGTTTAGCTAGTTATGATGCTTACTGCATGGAGGCAATGGGAAGAAGATAAACAGGGAAGGAAGCAATGGTTTGGAAGGCATCGTAATTTCCCGTATCACAATAATAGGGTGAATGGGCTAGAGTATATTCAAGTTGAAGCACTTTGCGGTGATTTTGCTAATGCTTTCATTTAAAACCGTGATAAAGTGCGTCCAACAAAAGGCTGTAAAGTGGTCTTCACCGTGAAAGAAGTTAGTACACAAGCTCATTGCTAAACTGGCATTTTCAGTCAAATTGATCGCAAGCTCATCCGAATTGCTCAGGCCAGCAGAGGACACGCAAACTTTATGTAGATTTCTCCTGTCAACTCTGTAAGCATATGTCAACGCTATACCCGATTTTTGTGCCCGTTTTTTATTCAAGTGCACATTTTCATTTGCATGCCTATTGCATATTTCCTGCTTAAAATAAACTTTCAAGCCACGAGAATCCTGCTCTGCTAGCATTCTTTAAACTTTTGCTTCAGTTCGATGAAATGGATTATTAGATACAGCAACCTCCCAAACTAAAAAAACCTTGTTTGGTTTAATATTAGTCTAATCTGCCGAATAGCAAATAATTCTTATTGTTAATGTTTGCTCGTTAGGCTTACAAGCTGTTTTTTAGTTATAGGCTTTTTAAAACGCGTAAGTTCTGATGTAGTTCACTTTTACCAACTATTCCGGTGCTCCTAATAATACTGGCGTAGGAATTCGCAGAAAGGAATACATTATTTTACATGTTCATTCGGTCCCTCTGGGTCCTGCAACTGTCCTGGTGGCATAATTTTTTGTGCATATCCTTAGATTGATAAAGCTCTCCTTCATTCCGGTTCTCATACTGTACCTTGGGGGTTGGCATGAAACATTGTTGAATTTGGCTAGTTCAGTAGCCTTTCATTACGTTAGGTCTTGTGCTTCATTGTAAAATGCTCTAACATATACTTTATCCTACGCTTTTCAATTGTTACACACCGCTTTCAAGTGCAAATTTTGCATGTGCAACAGCATCAGAGCACATTATTTATCCTCAAAACTTTCCATTCATATAAATGGTCTCTCATTTACATATTGTCACAGTAACAAAAAGTTTTGTTTATTTGATTTTAACTATCCTAACTTTCAGCAAATCTTTTTTTTCAAATACCATAAGGAGTAATTGTTCAAAATCCTTTGCTTTAATTTCTTCAAATCCAAGCTAACTTTTTTAGATCAACACTTTAAAAATCAGTTGTATTTTTGTTTATTTTTACCATCACAACGATTCAGTGATTCCCATTCTTTCAAATAAGCACACTTGAGAGTCCCTATTTGTTTCAAATAGACAAGTATCTCGGGCACTTTTTCCCAATTACTTAGTCTTTATGTACGCATCTGTTGGGCGAGGCTCGTAGGTCTCCTCGTGCTCTTAGAACAACCCGGTTGGTTTGATTTCGATATATTTATTAAGGGGAGTGATTCGGGAAACCTAGTACAGAGTTTCGAGGGGGGAGGATCCGCAACCGCTCTCAGGCTTGGGAGACGTCGACTCTGTCACCAGGTCCAAATTGTATCCCCACCTCCTCTCTGAAAGGAACATTAAAACAATATAAGTATTACATGTCATTAGAAGGATGAGTAATCAGGCCACATATATTAGCTTGGTATTTTCCAGTGCGATGAAACCAGCCACTTTTATGTGGTAGAACGTAACTAAATAAAAGGAATTTTCATTTAAATGAAAGTAGAATGTTACATAGTTTTCTAGTATTTGCTTGGAAATAAGTTGGTTGGGAAAATTTTTACTTGTAGGTTGAGAGCACTAGATTTGAATGTCTAGTTTTGAAGGCAAACTCTATTCTCGCTTGCTTGCGTCCATTTAAAATTAACCATATCTTGAGGCATTTACAGGTGTATGTCTTTAGCCAACTAAACTCCCCTAATAGAGGTTGACAACGCATTACTTAAAGTAAAATTTTCAAGCCAAAGGAAAATTTTCAGACTTACTCAGGCAATGCAGATGTAGTTCAATATAGTATCATTACAATATCTAGAAGTCATGAAGCATATGGGCAAAAATAACGGTTAGCATATCTTTTCTCTAACAAAACTACCATCTTTTTATCCTTATCCTAAATTTCCGTTCTCTCTTAAGGTTCCAAAAGCTCTTCCATAATTCCTAGTATAATTTAGAAGTCCACGGAGAATCCAGTCCAAATTTTTACGTTCTGGTTATTAAGTTGTTATTCTCCATTTTAATATTACAGTTTGAGACCAAATTTCAAAATGAAATTTCAGATATGTGTAGATGCTTTTTCAAAGCCCACTTCCTTTTCTGCATCCAAAGTGGCATCACAAATTGCTTTCGACAGCGCGCCTTATGAAAAGAAATGCGTCAAGATGTTAGCGCAGTAGGACAAATGCATTCTCAAAAAGGTTGTGCGTTTTGAAGCAAAGCGCAACGCCTCCTCACAAAACCAAGATTAAAAGCTTTGAAAGGGATCCATAATCAATGTTCAAACCATGCAATTCAGTTATAAAAGCAGTCGATTTCTTTTTATAATTAACTTTATCTGTCCACTTGCGGAGATATGATGCTAACTTGCCAGAGTAAATCCTTTAACGTGAAGCGCAACAAATTTTTATTGTGGTATGATCTTACGGGTCTGATCTCTTAAAGACTATCTTGTTTCAGTCTTTTCTATTTGTTTGCTCTCTTTTATGCCCTCACAATTCTTTATACTTTTTTAATGACCTCCTCATTTAAGCTGGGGGCTCTTTGCGACATATTCCGCACTTTGTAGTTGATTAAGTGGACCCGAGGTCTTTTTAAAACAAACCGCACATCTGAGTGCACATGGGCGCCAATGCATCTTGGACATAAATGTACAGAGGTGCTGCTAGCTGGAGTGACACGACCGCAGGGTTGTGAAGCCGAGGTGGGTATTAAGAACGACGCTGATTGAAGAGTTCTCCAGTCATGTAGTGCCTCCTGTCTTACCTGAAGCCGGAAGAAGGCGTACCACTGAAACAGAAAATATATTACCGACATATAGAAGGGTTTAGGATCTATTGACAAGGTCAAAAGGCTATGCCGCCCAGCAAAAGCACGGAAGTGGAGACTTAAGTGCCCCGAAACCAAAACGAAGTATTAAACAAATAATCAAATTATTACAGTTAAGGCGACGACTCAAACGAATAATAATTTATTGAAACAGTGTCTGATGCAGCACTTTTACAAAACTTGGTGACGGTGGGGTTTTAGTAATCTACAGGTTAGGTGAGACGCATTAAGTTAAAAATATCTACTATTTTGTATTTTCTAATAGCATTTGACCAGCAACTTATGGATCTCTATCTAATTTGGCTACATGTCAGGCATAGACTTTTATGAGAATTTTCGGCTTAGGAACATTTGACTTCCGTCTCCATGTATTTCTGCTCCTTTACCCTCAAGTGATGTCCCTTTCTTTCGAATAAGTTATTCCATGTGCTAAACCGGCTAGGTTAGGTGTTGTTTAGTATTTAACTATTGTGCTGGAAAATTCTGGCGCATCATATACCATCTACATGTAAATGTGACTTGTCTCTGAAGACTTCATTTGTATCGCCAAGATTCAGGTGGCTCTTTGCATTACTTTTGCAGGCAAGTACACTTGGCCTTTGTACTTCCGCTGGACATCTCGCTTACCACCCAGCTCTCCTCTACGTCAACAATACATCTACTCTTCGGGAAAGTCTTGATACACCAAATAAATAAATAAATCGGAGAGCGAACCCCATCCTGAAGGCTAACTACCTCAATTTCTACTATCAAACGCAAAACGTTGACACAATGGAAGGAAGGCATATGCTGTAGGTGAGAGAACCGGTGACGATCCCTAACAGAAGGTCTGGATTTGACGTCTACCTTTGGCGACTGCCCCAGCTCTGTATTCTGCAGGAGCACTGAAGCGGTAGTGGACCATCTGAATAAGCTTGTTGTGGATCTGTCCACGGTATCTAGGTGAAGATGTGAACACGTGACACTTTCCCCACTTCTCTACTAATTGGATGAAACCCGGATAAAGATACGGCTGGTTAATTAACTATCTTAAGCCCCTTTTTATTAAATGACTCTGCTTTAAGGGTAGTATTCCTACGAACAGTGATGGACACACAATGTTGAGCACATTTCCTAATCCCTAATTCAGTTCTAAAACGGAACGAAACTCCAGATCAAGTGGAATCGCCAAGAGGGATAATTGGCATTGCAGTCGGACATCCTCTTGGGTGGCCGCAAATCCGATGATTGCCGCTGTTGGTTCATGGGTGCTGCTCTTACAGCACCAACTACGTTGAGATAAATGACGCTAAAGATTGACTAAGAGGAGCTCCGAGGGCGAAATCCATGAGGAGTTTAACTTTTGTTTAACTTTTCGTTGAGTTTGCAGGGGCGCTTAATAGTCAGCCATGGTTCTCAGCCATTAGTCGCCGCAGCCCTTCTGTAAGTCAGCAATGCATATTCTGCTCGAGTATTATGTCATCTTTCGTCTTCAGGGAAGTCTCGGTGAGGGACACCTCTTATAATACTTGAATTTCATTTGTTCTGTTCGCTACAAAGCCAATTCATAATAAAGGCACTAATTATGCGATTAGAAATACTTTTATGCATTTACTTTGTCTAATGGCTAGCTAGGTCAATTTGCACAAGTTTCCCTCTCCCAATTCCAAACAATCGGAGGGTTTAAAACTGCCGACAAGTAAATTTCCTTTAGAAAAAAATCAAGAAAATAAGCATCTTGCGGGTGAAAAACTATAGTTTTGCGTATTTTGTTAGCTATTTTTGTCGCAAAACAAAGATAATTATTTGGGCAACACTATTAGTGGGGGTTTTTGAGTTGACCAGTTTTAAAGTACTTCTACCTTTCAATATCTTCCTTATTAAAAACCTGGACTCTGATTCAATTGTCTTGGTCACAGCAATTTTGTTCTCTAAAAATATTTTCTCTTTTTGCTAAGCATTAAATAGGAAACTTTAAGCACTTACTTGGGTCTCTTATATCTCCTTTACAACTATACTACCAGAAGGTTTACATAATGCCTACTAAGTCTTTGTTAATTTTTAATGGGAAATTTTGAAGCAATTTTGGCTATATCATAAACTTTACGAGTATATTATGCAATCTCAATAATTTTAAATTATTTGGGGGAGTTATCAGAATTCATCAAGAGTCACTTTGAGCTAAAGTACACTCCGACTGATTCACAAATGCCTAAATTCAGCCGGTTTCCTCGATTATGTGAACTTCAGACGCTACAGATTTTTCCACCGGGGTTAAATAATGCCCCATGTAGTTTCTGTCTTCAAAATCATGCACCACCTTCTGAGTACAGCATCTGAGTCCACCCTGGAGATAGCGCACGGTGGCAACAAAGAAAGCCCGGCAACCAATGATTGGGACTGGAGGAGACAGAAATTCAACAGCACTATTAGGGTTACAAAAGTACTCACCCGGTTGAGTGGACAACTTAAACAAATCTCCTTTCAATAGAAGTAACGTCGTATTTTTGCAGTTACAAAAAATCCTTTAAAAAAGTGGGAAAAATTTGGACGTGTACAGCTCTCCCTAGAAAAAGGAAAGCAATCTTTTACATTCGAGTGGATCTTTGGTATTTTTGATAGATATGTTTTGATATTGTGAGTTAAATTGGCAGTTAGTGTGACAACCTCAAATGGACAAGTGTGCGAGGAAGGCTGTCAAAACTACTTTGAGTAGAAATTTCTAGTAGGCCTCTACTATTGTGATCGACATTGACAGTTAAAAGTACAATCATTGAATAAAACAAAAGTTGTTTTAAATTTTGACAATAGGAGGGGCTTTCAAGTTAAATTGTGACCTCTGCTTTTACGGGTACGAAATGGAGTACCGCCGCGGCAGTACTAGTGGCCATTTCAGACACCGTCCATGAAGACTGTCGGCGAAAATGATGGTGCTTCAGGCCTTCATAGAATAGTTAATTCTTACAGAGAAGTCTTTTATTCCAGATATTCGTGCTTATTGCTTATGTAATGCGGTAATTGTTTGTTCAGCTCGCAATTCTGGTAACGGGTCATTCAAGGGCTCCCCCATTGTACATCCGCCGGGCGGTCAGGCCTTTGGACCATTTCAATAGCCCAAAGCCCTTCTGTATGCTGATGATACATAATCTGCCCAAGTATTATCTCTTCTCTCGTCTTCTGAGACGTCTTGAGTCGTAACACTTAGGCCTTAAAGTAGGAACAAAAACGCGACAGACAAATGTGAGAGAAAACAATTGCCAAAATTAGCATTCAACCTGCTATACATAAACCAAGAATTCAAGGTTTAGTCTAAACACCCCTTATATCTACGCCAGTTTCGGTGTTTGAAAAGACATTAATTAAAACAATAGTTTGTAAAGACAAGCCAGTAATTCGAGCAAACAAATGCCTATCCTACTTTTATTAATCTGATTAAAAAGGAAATCATTTTCACTTACATACTTTTATCCACCACAAGCGAGTAGTTGTCTCTACTCCACTGGCGCAGTAGACAACGCTACCTACTTCCAGTGATAGTGGCTTTGAAGGCAGCACGATTTGTGCACCGTTTTTAGCGAAGCTGGTGGCATTGCTCCGTGAACCCGGAGTTCCATGATGTGCCGCAACATCAGGGTAGCCGTTTTAAAAATTGGAAAAGTACTAAGGACACTCCTTAACTTTGTCGGCACTGATTGATGTGTACCTAGTGAGCAATTAGTGAACTTAAAGTGGGCAATAGTTGGTTTTTGTTACTTCAGTTGTCTTATTTCCTATAAACGATTTACTTTAATAACTTTTTTGTATTTATACCAAGATATTGCCTGATTATTTCAAATGATAAGTTTTCTTTAGTTCCTTGGTTTTTTTAATTTTTAACCGTATTTGTTTTTATTACTTCACATCTTAGTGCCGAAGCTAGTCGACTTCCTACTGTCATCCTCAACACTGATCTTTGCTACTGCGCTGACCTATCCCAAGATTGACACAATGTAAATATACCCACTGAACTGTACACTAAAAAGTAGCGGCCTACCTATTGCTGTTACATTATTTACATTCATACATCCATACTTCAGTAACTCGAGACAAATAACACGCCCACATAAGCAAATGTCTTAATATGATGCAAACCAGGCCTCATGTGAAGGTTGTATCCCCTTGAGTCATTAAGAAGGACCGAGGGGTTGCTGGCGTGGTCAGGGGGCCGTTCCTTCAGCGGAAGTAGAAAGGTGGAGCCTTCAGTGCCCGTGTAATCCAAAACGAAGAGTAAAACAAACACCTAAAATATTACATAGTTCCCCTCGACTTTTGAGAGTTAACCCCGACGCCTTTTTAGGTCAACCTCCTACCTCGGTCATCATATCGTAGACAAGACGGTAAATGTATGTGCAGCTTAGAAAACATTTGACGGCACCATTACATATCCGTCTTGGTAATTCCACTCGATAGGGAATTCCGTCCTGTTCTGGAAACTGTATTGGGGAAGTGGAACTGTGGAGGCCTTCTCGTATTTCCATCGCTAGTGGTAGGAACCCTACCCTAAAATCAGTCATTTAATGATTGATTACTTCCGTATGGTTTTTTATGGTAAAATTTCCTGTCTATTTCTCCTTGAAACTCTGTTTTTACTTCGGTGCTGTCTAGCCATATCTATCTCTCTGGGTTATATCCAGCTAGCAGAGGTGGAGTAGGTATTACGAAATCGCTTAATTAACATTTTCATACAGGTGCGGTAGATAGGTCGGTAAAGGACTTTTTCCAAATGGTCCATGGCTAGTGTTGCTTCGGTTGATAATAGTACCCCTACGGGGCACGGGACTGGGGTAGAAACCCATGCGCAGTATACATGTTCCCTATGTTAATTTAAGGTTTAGCATTCAGGAACAGAAATCAAGGTATTTGTTCTTTATGATCGGGTTTGCTTTTCGCTGCCGGGATCTTTCCTAAGGGCAAAAAAGTTGTATTTCTTAAGTAAAATATGTATCGTCGACACACGGTAGGGTTCGGGGGATAGTGGCATGGTCCGGGGAGCATGTTGCTCAGCGAAAGTACAATGGTGGAGTCCCAAGTACCTGTGTAACCGAAACCGAGAGTTAAGCAAACTATGACATGCGACGAATGGCTCTATGTAAACACCAAAAGCAGCATATTTTTAGCAGTTTTTAGCTTAAACCTGTTAAAATCTCAACCCTATTAATATTATGGTAAATTATATAAACTGTATTAAAATCATAACCTAGATTGCTTTCGTTGGGTATTCAGTGGTATAAAAGTCGTTCCAACTTCAAACCTACGAATAAAACCTAAATCAAATAAAGATTTTTATGTTTATGTCACACCATATGTTGTTTCACCTATGCTCATGGCGCTTTTTACCTCCCATCTTTATAAG